TAGACTGTTTGTACGTGCAATCTAATGCAACCAATTGCTCGTTATTCACGCAATCTGAGCTTTCTCAACATAGTTATTTCATTCATAACGTGTCTTTGGGTTATTAAAAACAGTAACGAAAGCCTGAGACATTTTGTAGATGATACGGAAAGTTCAACCTGTAGATTGCGTTAAGAATAGCGGATTCCTCAATGTTATACGAGTGTTTAATAAACAATGTGTCTCACCTGTGTGTTTACCTTATTGAAATTTACCTCATCGTCCGCCCGATTCCCGCCCCCACCCGCACCCCCACCCCCGGGTGTAATGTGCACTGCGTATCCTGACATCGGCGTCCTTTGTCTGGGTAGAAAGCAACGGTCCTGCTTCACGTGTGTCCTCGGATCTACGACGAGGAAGATGTACCAGCTCAGTGAGCAGTACGATGAAATTTGACATGGATGAAGTAAGTAATTCCCTCTCTCAACAGGTGATAAATGCATTGTTGGCATTGTTCCCAGATCATACTTCTCACGATGCCCCTCAAGTATGTTCATTCGAACCGCTAAGTAGTATGTGAGTTTAAGTAAGTCAAGTTCAGAAAGTCAGAATTTTCATTATGCTAATCCGCGATGGATCAATCCGAATATTTTCACTGATGAAAGCATTCCATCACGAAACCTCCTTTGGTCAGATTTGAATGAACTTAGATTCGTTGTGTATGAAGAGCGCATGATTACTCAGTCGGAGGAATTGTGCGTTCTGTGCCACCGAAGTATTTTATACATGAATTACGTGTTGCCTGTGCCAGAGAAATCAATTAAGCAGGGACAAATGCGTTTCTGTAGGGATATTATTAAGTTAAAAAAAAATATCCTCTGGTTTTTGACTTTCAATAGCAATTTTTCAAACGCCCATTTCGTTCTGTTCCAGATAGAATACCTACTACAGGAGAAAGCCAGACACAATTTTCGTGAACTTCGTCACAATTTCATTTTGAATGATCCCGAAGGCGTGGGCAATGTTTCTCGGTTAGTGACTTTTTACAAATTTCCCATTGAATTCCCATGAAAGAAAAGTTAATAAATAACTCTCTAAGTGAGAGTTACTTTGAGTTAGCAGTGCTAAAAATCAAACTTTCAAGGAAAACTCGTATTATTGTCATTCCTCTGAAAAAAAATTCAAATTTCCGAATCCAAAGTTTTTCCACGTATCACGACTGTAACACTAGGCAAAATCAATGTGATTGATGACATTCAACTAAGTAGACGCCTATATTCCCCTTTCGTTGTATTTATTTATCTACGAAAAAACTGCAGACCCCAAAGTTAATAAGCCACTGGAATTACCATTTTTTCATCTGTATGCTACACGCACTACGTCTGTCTGTCTGTCTGTCTGTCTGTCTGTCTGTCTGTCTGTCTGTCTGTCTGTCTGTCTCTCTCCCTCTTGCATCAGAGCAAACGCTCTGTCGACATTTTGCGTCTGGCTGAATCCAGATATTTTTTTCTTCTGTATGCCGATGGTTCATTATGGAATGTATACGGTAAGTATTACTTATGCTGCTGTGGTGAATCAACCGACATTCTTCGTCAGGGAAATTTAGATACTATCAAACAAACAAACCAAAAAGGTTTCAGAGCGTCTTAAATGTCAGCACACACACAAGCAGGCTCGTATAGATAGAGAGCATTTCTAGTTCTGGCTGCGCCAGTCAGGATCCGAGAGGTGAGGAGCAAATCCTTCTCTCGGTTGGCTTGTGCTGCTTCCATTTACGTCTACAGTTAAATAAAATGTAAACGTTCGACAACACACTGGGACACCAAAACAGAACGGGAAAAACGAACATGTGGAAAGTTCCAAGCGATGCGCCTTCCAAACCCGTTGCGCAAGACCAAAAACAATACAATTAGAAATGTTTTGATAGAATATGGTAAAATTGATAAGCCGAATATAGAAAATGTATTAAACTGTGTTCACGCAGAAATTTCTTTTCTATATGTCGAATTAAACGGTTACATATACAAAGCGATCTGATTAGTTAAATACAGCTTAGCTTTAAGCGATGTCAGAGGCAAGCAAACGGAGCAGACGAATGTGGCACAGCTAGCAGTAACCAACGCTAGAATTGTGGAGGAGTTGAGAGGACAAATGCCAATAAAGGAATTTACCAAGCACACCTTTGGTACGGAAGATTAGGGGCCCGTGCATGATGTCTTAACTGGTCATCTCGGTGAGAGATAGCCCAAACCGCTTCCCGAAATTGCACTGACGATATTGTCTGGCCTGACTACGAAACGTCCGGGAACAACAGTTCCAGCTCGTGTGCAAGCCCTGAAGCTTCCCTAGTTCACCCTCTCCATCCCCCCCATACACACACACACACACACACACACACACCGCATCGCGAGTGATCTGGATAATCGGATGAGTGGACAAACAAACATGCGATCGCGGTGAACCCGATTTCCGGTTTCACGATGAAATCGGTTGTAGTAATCTGAGATTTTATTTGATCTTCCCAAGGCAATTTTATTTCCAATTAGTGATATATATTGTGACGTATTGGCATGAATACGAATATCTGAAAACGAGGTTGTTTGCCACTCTGTTGTTTTGTTTGAAATAGATTTTAATTCGTCTTTGTTGTTCGCATAAAGTTGACAGCTTAAAGTCGGAGGATGCATCAAACTATTGTTGAGCAAACTCTTTGGATCTAAAAACAGAAAATAGTGTCGTCAACCAGGTGGGAACGGGAGAACGATAATTGAATGGCATAACTTTAGTATCGAAAGGTGAAATTATTCTGTCATTATGGATTACACCAACAGTCGTTTCTTCTGTGGGGCCCAGATTTTCTTATTCCAGTGGACAACAACAACTGCTGGCATATCAACAGAAGAAATCACTTTTAATCAACATTTAAATGAAGGTATGTTAGCTGTAAACAGCGCTTCAACACACGCTGAATGTCTTCACAACCGTGGCACACTTTGTTGCTAGTCAATTTCTGTGATCTAACATCATTCTCCGTTCCAAATAGGCACCAGATATATTTAAGTAAAACACGCTTCTTATCAAACATTTTGAGTCAACATTTCCCCATTTTGTTTTCTCTCTTACTGTAACAAGTGATCATCATTCACCTGTACATTGTTGCTACGGTATCTGTAGAGGTCAGTCTACATGACTGATGTCAACATCTAGAAAAACAGGTGCACTACTCGAAAAGGTATGACATCATTTGTTCACTTGAATTGTTTCTTTTTTGTTTTTATCGTTCTGCTAGAGACGGTCTCTGTCGAGTGCTAACACGAATGTTATTTTGGCCTATTCGGCCAAAGCACGTGAACAAATTGCTCCAACGCTTGGGATTCTGCAACAAGAAGAGGGTGAGTGTTTGAAGGAGGAAATCAATCGAACCGCCGATAAATAACGAAAACAATGAATGAAAACTTGTGATAAACGTCCCACATTCGTTCAAGTAATAAAACAAATTAACAATTGCAAGTTTAGGCAAGTGTGTGACCATTGATTACCTCCAGATTTCATGATATTTGTGTAAAACAAATTTTGCTCTGAAATTGTTTGATCAATATTTAAGTCTGGAGTCACGTTCTGTTCAGAATGGATTTGAACTGTCGATCAGTAATGCACAATACATTCTATACCAATAAAACCGTGGTATTTTTCATCAGCAGACTGCATTTGATCGAAGTATTTGGACATCATGTACAACACCCAGGCACTAGCGCGTTTTCATTCACTTTTCATCGGAACACAAACCATTGTGTATCTAACATTAGAGATGAATAGTGAATTTACGAATGGCTGTATTGTGCCAGTACCCGTTTAACGACGCCCTCTAGGCTTGACCATGTTGGCGGAAGCTGTCAGCTGTTGTCTCAAGAGAGTAATGTCAAACTCAAACAAACGTCGAACGTAAGTTATGCTTGTTTTAAAACTGTTCGCTATGCAGCTACGTTGCTAATCAAATCCGTTAATGTGCGGAAATTTATATTTACATGAATGTTCTCAACAAAACAAAACGTCATACCAGCACGGCACTCGGTTTTCCGGTTATTTCGATCGTAAATTTCCTTGGATATTTTCAACAAAATCAAAACACAAAATAAACTGATTTTTCTGCTAATCGACAACTTTGTTTCTGGTCACTCTTGAAGGATAGTGTCATTTATCTTGACTCAGCACCTTCCATATCGTTTCCCATTGCGCTCATCCCTGTCAGTCATAAATACTCGAAAGTGTTCAGAACGGAATTTCACCCACACCAAGCTCATTCACGGTACATTTCCATCCGCTTCTCCGGTAAATAAGCTTTACAACCCCTCGAGTGTATTAAATGTGTACCACCGAACTGCTAAGCAAACCAGAACGAGGATTGACTGGAAATGTTGGTCTGATTTTTCCCAGACCTCATGTTTAACTCTATTGAATGAGGTTGTAGGCCCATAGAGTCACATGCGGAGACATCGTGTACCACCATTTAATTAACAACACACCTGAAGCCTCCACCAAACAAGGTTTTCTATGAATAACTATAAGTTATTGATTTCACCCGAGTGCAGCGGTGAAAAATAAGCAATTAATTCACATTCTCAACATTTTCACACTGTGTGCTCAGTGACACTGCGGACTCAATAATTACAGTCCACTATGCTCCGAATACGGGATCAACTGAATCTGTTAGTTTGTGTCTCATGCGAGGGGACTGAGTCTTAGCCCGTTTATATTTTCGACTAGCACATTTCTTCTCAGCTCAACGACTGCAAAAGACAAATTCCTGACATTCTGTGGATATGTGCAACATTCGTCTGCAAGCGATATTTATGGTAAATCTTTGCGGAAGAAAAAAACATCATTTGATTCGTCTCTCCGGAGGCGGTTGTCTGTCTGCTGGCCAAGTCTAATGATTTTTCGTTTAACCGATGATATCCAAAGTACCATGCATTATTCTTCTGTCTGGTCTGTTTGAAAAAAAGAAACCTTCCAATAAAAGTAATAAAAAGCAGTGACTTCCTCCCTTCGGAGCCTAGTTGTTTGTCGGCAAAAGTTCCTGCGTCGACTTTAGGGACAATTTGAGGGCGTCCAAAATGTCAACCTGGTGGGTGATAAGACCCGACGTCCTGCGAGGAACTTTCAACCCGAGCTAGGGCCAATTGAATAAAATCGGCACCAATCGCAATGGATTTTTGCTCGAAATTCGGTTCAGTTGTTGATTCAACCTTGTAGCCATTATTTCATATAGTTAAATATTCACTAATATAATAATTTTAGCGTTGAATGGTGACGCATAGAATATTCAGTTCGAATACAAATTGTCGTCTAACGATTAACAGCGTTTTTATGTACATATAATTACATATGTGTGTTACGACCGAATTTCAATCGCCACGTTACTGCACAGCTTTGATATGGGCACATATCCCAAAACAATAAAGCAGAACACACAAAACAGCGTGCTGAACGGAACCGAGTTTCTGATTATATGAATGATCGTGAGACCAAATCAATGGATTAAACGATGACCTGAAACTAAGTAAAGCATGCTCATGGAAAGAAACAGCCCGGAGGCATAAACAACTGCATCACGTGATTGATCGATCAATAGGAACTGATGGACAAATGAGCACGTAACAATATTTTACTTTATAAAGGGATGGAGTACGAAACTTAACAGATCGATTCACAGGTGTGATAGTATTATCTTGTAGTTATTTTCTGAGAAATACGTTAGACACTCAAATCCACGTTAACAGAGGCGTAATTAATTGCAATATTTTGCACCATGCATAGATAAATGGAAATTCGCAAGAAAAAGGAGACAAAAGGTGAGCAAATTTCATTCAAGATTTCAATGAATGAAATCTCTTCTCAGGGAAAAATGCTTCTGCTTCAGGAGTTGTAAAACGTGAAGCATTCTGATTGGTGTTGATCTGCTGTAATACGTTGCCGTGATTTCAACCCAACGGTAAAAATCCTTTGAGCACCAATCTGATTGGTAAAAGGCCTTTATTCTAGTTATCCTTTCCCTCCGATTCCGCAGACGTCGTCAATGCATCCTGTCGTTACCTCAACATCGTTTACTTCATCTTGCACCTAGCGGTAAGCAAACCTTAATCACAATCAAAACTGGCACTAACCGGTGACGGCTGCGTATTCGCATTCAGTGTGAAAGACTCTGTCACGGTTTGCCGCTTGATTGGCTCACTCTAACCCCATGCGGTACGCTACAGAACATCGATGTACCAAAGGTTATAGTGAATAATTGCTTCGAATACACAACCTAAGGTTATTGTTTCACCCAAACACTAAATGGGGTCTCATTCAAGCGTGTACTCCTCTGCTTATGCGTGCGGCCACATCTGGAAGTGCACTGCCGCCGTCATTTAACTTTATGCTGGAAGGCAAAATCCACGACACATTCAAGTACCAAGACTCAGATTAGAAAATTAAGGGTGCAAATGGCATACTGAAACGAACGACAAAACTTGCTGGCCCCATCTGCAAAAACAAACGGCATATACGGCTTACTCCAGAGTGTACAGCGCTCCTTTGGATATTGATTTATTTCAAACATTGTGAAGAGCGTTCTGCATCACATACATGGGGGTGTGACTTTGCGGTTTCCTTGACGAATACCGTTTATGGTTTCGAATGAGTTTGTGATTTGAAATTATACCGTTATTTGACCAGAAATACAATAGTACAAAGGCAACGACATTAAGGGTCATTTGCACGCAAACAAAAGAACCAAAAGGGACTTTGTGGTCGCTTGGACAGATTCCTTAGAACGTCTGGAAACACTAATGTTTGTTAGCTATTGTTAAATTTAAGCCCTCCGTACACCGGAAACATATGTGAGATCAATCGAACCATTTTTTCTCTCTATCTCTGATATGAAGAAGTGACTTTATTATATCGATCCGTTTGTTGAAAGTAGGAGTAGAACTTATAGCTGATCACACAAAAGCAGTGGGATTGAACAATTAAACTGATTTACTAAAGTTTAATATGGATAGACCATTTGATAATGTACAGTTCATTTGTCAGGGAAATAGACAAAGTGTACCGTGAAAAGAAGACAATGTGGCCAATTTTCAAGGACTTAAAATATATTCACGCATCATAGACCTGCGCAGAATATCCGCTGCGGTTATTGCACCAAGTCTTATTCGAACTATGAAAAGGTTTTTGCCCCAAATCAGGGACGGAAAATATTTCTCAATCCCGAGCGGGATGTCTGAAATCTATCATTACATTTCATGCTATTTTGAAAAACCTGATTCAGGCTGGTTATCAAACGGAGTTAAGTCTGCCCATTTCTGAATGATTGATTGGCCGGTATCTCTTATTATCATTCTTGGGATACAATCAACTCTGGTGGTACGATGAGATCAATATTCGCTTGATAGATAGCATAGACCTGTCTGGGATTGGGTACACGTATTTTCCAAACTTGTTCATAGTTCGCCTATTTACGACTCAGGAACAGTGTTCCGCATGTGTAGGTTGAGAAGTGACATATAACAGGAGTAGTGGAGGAATAATGGTTTTCAACTAGACTTTAAGGGCTTCACTTCGCAAAGTGAGTGGTTCAACTGTCACATCCGCCCACAGGATAAAAGGTTCTAATTTTAGCCGATGCGTGGGAGTGTTTTGATCAAGTATGTGTGTGAGACAGAGAGTGAACAACCTGGTCGAGCAATAAAATAACAGCACACACCAAAATCACAACTGTCTGGCTAATGCGTAATTCGTAACTGCACAAGTGACCTTAAACAGTGTAATAATTTTCCCATTTGGAACGGAAGTTTGCCTGAGAAGTTTTGAGTTAAGATAATGCTTTAAAATTGTGACTGATGGTGCGAAAAAGAGACATGAGTACGCATGCGCATATGCTAGAGAGAATAATGAGTATAGGATATAGCTTAATTCCTCTGTTTTGCATGAGGGTGTTCAAGAAAATCGCATGTTGTGTGAAATCTCTCTGAATGAGGCAACCTGATAAGACAAGGTGGAAATGATTGCGACTGATTTTAACTAACTATGCGGAGGGAACATGTGGATCAACTCAATATAACATTTTATTTGCCCCGTCGAAAATTTCTAAAATTAAAACAGAGCACCATAGGTTTTAAACAGTTAAAACTAAAAATCTAATTACGACAAGATAATAATAATAGTAATAAAAACTCAGGATTTATTGAAAAATATCAGGAAAATTAGGAAAATTTTCATTTACGCTCTCAACCGTTAACATCATCCGGGACCGGGATATGAGTTCAGTTGTCCGTGACGCAACATGTATCGCATTAGAAGCTATACTCTATGAAACATGGACCCATTTTCACTCACAACTTGTGTGATAGAACCGAAATGCACTATATGATCATTTAAAGCGAGATTATAAATTGCGCGCAATGAGTTCATTCTTAAATTTCATGCGATTCCCTAATGCTTCGTGAGTATAGTAGAGCATCTAGTGTACGTTGAACTTCGTTATATGTGCAGAGCAAATGAAGCGTGAACTCGAAGAAAATTGAAGAATCACCGAACAGCTGTTTCGACCTGATTGGGTGCGGTACGTGAATCTCTTCACGCAACTGAAGATCGATCGCGAGACCTCACAGTTAGAATGCAAGAGTAATACCCATGCTAATACCGCTTTTCATTTCACACATACCCTAGTACCACAAATGATCTTTTCAAGCGGGTTGCGGGTGAGTTAGCATACTCTAACTTTCAAAGCCATCCGTCGACAGGGAAACATTATGAACCTGACTACTCGTTTTTACCGACCAGAATAAGCGTTTTGAGTCTGGCAATTTCTTCATTGTTCATATCACTTATACATAGCAGAACCTGAGATGAACGGTTATTTATTGACCGTGTTTTATCAGTGTGTCAGAGTAAGTGCGTATTTAAACTAAGCCATGATACGTGACATGAAATAACTTCTTTCAACTAACAGCTGCGCATGCACATAATTATAAAACGTCTATGGAAGACGTTTAACGTACGTAGTTACATCTAGTAGCAATAGCTGAGAAAAATATCCGTTCTGCACTACGTGATCTTCGTATCACAGATCGCATCAAACGCGAATGCGTTCTCACAAACGATCATGTTCTGAATGAAAACGTTTTACTTGTAGTCGAAAGACAAACGGAGGGAACATCTCTGGAAATCATATTTTGTTTATGTACCCCGAGAATTCGTGTGAATGATGAAATGCAAAATATCTTTAGTCATTGATCAAAAAAAGACCAAGCAAACATGCACATTATTGTCAACCGAGTAATGATTATACGGGTGGTGGCCCGGTGGTAACGACACCAACATCACCCGACCGTCTTCGTTGTGTATTGGCCGATTCCTCTCATAAAAAATTGTAACATTCTGTATTCTATAAAAATAAGTAGAAATGAAAAGATGAAAAAAGGAAAAAAGAGAAAATCGATCACTCCTTCTACTTTTATATTGAGAATAATGCTGTCGATGTTTCTCCGGAAAATTTGGTGCCTAAATTCGCATTTTACTTGTGAAGTTCGGGATTCAATACCCACTTGAGCGTCATGTTATACGCACTACTGATGAGACCCGGCCAGGTCGAAACACTTGTCCAGGGCTTCCTCGTTCCTTCAGTTCACGCATCATTTACTTTTCAGGCTAAAAGACTTACGACATACCTAGTGCTTGATCGAGATTTTTCCAGGATGATTGATATTACTTGGTTGTATGCACAACTATGTACTATGATGTTTTGATTGGAAACTTTGTCTTGAAGGACAGCATTTGCTGTTTAAGAAAGTTGTTATTGTATTGTGAATAATGAATTAGGCATTCGTACTGGAAGATAATAAATGTCTAAAATCAAGTGGTGCTTTCAAACTTTAGTGGTAGTTGACTCTGGACTCTGTAATTCATAATAATTTAGGCATAAATGTTTATCGATAACAAAACGTTGATTTAAATCATACCGCATTGTAAACCATACCATACCTTGATAGTTACTGTGAGAATAGTCAACCACTATATCTACCCACGCCGCTTTCGTGGTGCCTGTCATTTAACTAAACGTTTTCTACACCCGCAAATTTTGGACCACACCGTTTTGTAGTCAAGCTGCTGCCCAGACCTGCATATCACTGTGCTACCGATATGTGCAACCCATTTTAACGCAACTTTCACTAGTTTACTAGCATGCCAAACAACGTTTCAAAGTAACAGACACGTTTGTTTCCATCAAACAAACCACTAATGAATCCCAGAATGTTGCTAAGGTAGTACGTGATGAAGCCCCAGATTGCATTAAAGTACAAGTCCTGATAAAACAGCAAATCTATCGTTCACGATTTGGGCTCATTTCACGGTAACTCATGCGAATGCACAGAATCCCATGATTGTGTTTTAATCCATTAAAAACGATTCAGACGGTGAATGAACAGAATAACTGACGAGCAGTATCAAACCATATTTGAGGTCAACGAAAGTGTTTCGCCATTAGCCACCTTATGTACAGTAATAGTGTGTGATCTTCCTAAACGAACCGACACAATACACTACGGAACATATAAACATGTTCAGCCTATAGCTTACCACCATTACAGGAAACTCTGTTTGGACCTCATTGTAGTGTCCCAACGGATTACGCTATACCAATATTTTATCGTAGACAATGGAACTGGAGGTAAACATGTATCTAACGGATGTTTCTTCCTTCTTATTTTGTGTATTTCATGTCCAAATCTCATTCGGTCACGGAAAGTAGCAGTGAGGTAGTTATTCAGCATATCTTTGGTTGCGGTGGTGTGCTAAAATCCGCGACTGCGGATCGATCGGAAAATAAACTTTTAGACAGCCTGTACCTATTAATGCATGTATGGCTTCAATCCCGCCACATGTTATTCACTCCAACCCCAGTTAATCAATTTCACAGAATTTTACACCGCGATCCTGAATGATCGTCCAGCGTTATCGTCCAGCCGAGTAGAAAGTTCCAGCAGTATGACCAAATGTTCCGTACTGCACGAACGACCACGAGGATTCCGTGTCAGACAACACCGGTCGGCACCGAGAGATCCCTGTAAACGTGTACCGAAATCAATTCTCGCAGAATGTGGTGATGAGGAACAGAAAGCAACCGCCCTGGTTCACCAACCACAATCCACGTGGACTTTTTTGACCCAACTTGGAGAAGAGCCGGAACAGAAACCGATTCTCCTCGCGCATCAAGCGATAGCCGTGATTCGACAGCGTCTACACAAAAAGCAAGTTGAACGTCAATCACTTCAAATCACAAAACCAGTTCATTGTCGTAATCAGAACACAGATCGTAGGTGAACATCTTTTTGATGAGTTCCTTCTCAAACCTTGACAATCACAATCCCGCTGTTTTCTTACATTGATTATAACGGCTTGAGAAGGAACTCACCGAAAACATATACTCATCTACGATCTTTGTTCTGAAAGTTAGCAGATGAATCTGATACCTGAAAACGACATTCCAATGTTTATTCCTTATTTTGATCAAGTGGCCTTCCTGAAGAAAAAACTTTTTTTCATGAGTAAAATTAATTGCATTAAATGTTCCACGAGAGCGTTGGATACTAACTTGGAATTTCACGATTATTCCGTGTTGAGGAAATTAGCTTCTCTCCGACGAATGAAAACCAAAACACAAAGGCGTTGGTGACAACGTTTCCACCCTCTTGGAAGGCCTTTTTCAAGTCGTTTAATCGGTTAATCTCACGTTAAAAGCAATTATAAGGCGATGGGATGATGACATCGTATAGAAGTCGGGTGTGATTCGAGCATGCATGTATGTGTATGTGCATGTGTGTGCGTGTGTGTGCGTGTGTTGGTGATCGTTCAACAGGTGCTTGGAGTGAGTGAAATTGGTTTGACCTTTAGGTAAAAACGTGTGAATTGGTCAATTGACATTGAGGATGGGGACGAAACTATTTTGTATGCACAAGTGTGAATTGTTGCCATAACTGTGGAATGACTGCCCCATCGGATCGATTGACTGCTCTAAGTTCTGCGTTGATCAGGAGCGCTTCACCTACCAAACGTTCCTTGTGACTTCTGAACCCACACTTTAGAATGCGCGGGTTTTTAAAATCAACTGCATGTCCTTCGCACATTGCATGAACTGCGATTGCAGAATTGTTACACTCGATTCCAACCTGTTGCATCATTTGTAACCTTTTTCGTTAGACGCATGTGTTCAGTCAGTCGTTTATCTAGGCGTCTGGACGTTTGGCCGACATACGAAACATTCCACAGTAATGGCAACAATTCACACTTGTGCATACAAAATAGTTTCGTCCCCATCCTCAATGCCAATTGACCAATTCACACGTTTTTACCTAAAGGTCAAACCAATTTCACTCACCCCAAGCACCTGTTGAACGATCACCAACACACGTACACACACGCACACACATGCACATACACATACATGCATGCTCGAATCACACCCGACTTCTATACGATGTCATCATCCCATCGCCTTATAATTGCTTTTAACGTGAGATTAACCGATTAAACGACTTGAAAAAGGCCTTCCAAGAGGGTGGAAACGTTGTCACCAACGCCTTTGTGTTTTGGTTTTCATTCGTCGTGGCTAATTTCCTCAATAGTCACGAGCACGACGCCCAAGTTTTGCAGTGAGATCCGTTCCATCCATGGATCTTGTGTGAATAGTCTCTGTGTATTTTTTTGTTCTAAACTTCTATTAGAGCATTTAGAGTATCAAGTTTGGATTGGCCATTCGATTGTTCAGAGGAACCAGGCACTCTTGATGGTCTTCGGTGTGGGTTTCACTCCTTGGAGTAATTTTTCTACTTAATCAAAATTAAATGGAATAAGTGGAAAGCGCAGACGTTCAGCGAATGCAGCTTATTTCTCGAGGGTAGTCTGATTTGTTTGCTAACTAAATAAGTATCCGATTGTAGCCATCGACTATGGTTCCATTCGAAATGTCTGCTGCGAACTTTGTGATACACATGCACACTGTTGCCCCTCACCGGTAAGAGTTTCCTAGAGTGATCAATTAAATGTAAGTGCCAAATGTTTGTGTACCCTGTGGTTAAACTAATCTTTTGAAATTTGAGCGCATTTCTTAAAAGCACCTGCTAGTAGCATCGATGAAAGTCAGATATTTTTTTTACTTAACATACGACGTTCTATACTACTACCTTTTGACCAATAATTTGTGTTGATCGAATAGAAAAGCAGTAACCATGAGGCAGTGCTGTGTAATAAAAAGAGTGGATCTATCCCAGTCGATGTTACTTTTCTAACAATGTTCTCAGTTGCGGAAACTGATTGCCATTTATCGTCATTAGAAGAGATAATTGTTACGGAAGATCTGTTCATGGTCGTGAGCTCAGTCAATTGCTAAGCTGATGCGTAATATGACTACAGTAACTACGTAATTTTACCAGTTTCCCCATTTCCGTTAGAACAAATCCACGAGGATTGTAAAACTGTACATACAGACGGTGATGCTTGGAATGGCCGAGACAGTTTTTGTTTTGCTAAACTTGCAAGCCCGATGGTAGGTGATTATTCGCATTCAGAAAGCAAACCGTGTGTGTAGTCGGGAGTTGCCAACGGATTTCTTGCTATCAGATTGGCTGTGTGCAGTGTCTTGCGTTCCAGTAGGCCCAATATCACCGATTCCTAACTACGGATAAAGTAGCGTAACTCTGTTTCTTCTGAGCCTATGTTTTTAAAAAGAAACAAAGAAGTTAGAAACAACAGGTTAGTGATGATTTTCTCTCAAATCTATATTTTGCTGATCACCTACAAACGTATTCAGTGAAATTATCTTGGTATAAATGAAAACATGCATCAGTGAGACAGATGATGCATAGTTGAACAACAAAGCTGCTAAAGGAAACTTCACTTATAAAACAAATAAATCAGCAGCCTTTATCCCTTATGCCGCCACAATTGTTGTGTTTGACAATTAGATTTTGCGTTGTCATTTGCGTATGAGGGCTGTGGACAAAAGCACGGTGTACCAAAGAATCACAGAAGATGGTTGATATGGACGAAGTTGGAACACATGATATGCGAGACACCGTGGAAATGCCAAAATCCATTTGAAACTGATTTCTTGAGAACGAGAGAGATTTATTCTATTGAATTTGGATTTAAACCGTCGAAATTCACCTCTATGCAAATGAGTATTATCAGTTTTGTTATGAGTCAAAAACAGGTCAGGCATACAACCGAAAGATTACTTCTGTGATGATGAAACGATATCAATAAAAAAATTTAAAACAGTCAGGTTAGATTATATGTAAACATTGAGTGGATCATTCCATCTGGTTAGGGGTGGAAAGATTAGATCGTTTCATATAATGTAATCTGCATTTGATCATTTGATGGTAAAGAATAATAACATGCGGTCCGAGGGATTTGCCGTTGAATATACTCAGGTCACACGGTATGATGCGACGAATCAGGCCAACAGGAACAGCTAATTTCAGAACAGCAGTGGACAGAAAACGGTGTATTAGATTTTCTCGTACAAATGTGGAATAGTGATATCTCTATCGTGAGGTCATTTCGCCCGGATGACTCACTCATTTTCGGCTTGTTTCACTGGGTGTCCGGTTTTGAAAAGCAAGCATAGAATAACCGGACAAAAAGTCAAATATTTGCCTTCCGTGATGACCTTATTTCAGGGAACGCAGAACACTAAATGCAGGCTAAATGCAGACAGAGGCTTGTAAGCATCGACTCACCTCGATTGAGGATATGCATATAAAATGTTGAAAATTGAGTGAGTTAATTAAAGTCCAGTCGTTTGAAATGAACACACATTTTGTTTGAATAATTCGAGTCAGTCATTTGGGCAGCGAATATTACTGGAAATAATAAAAAATTGAGTGAAGCCTGGGTTTGATGGGACATATCAATCCACAGCCGCCTGAATCGAATCATTAGTTTACCTTCAAGCCATTATTTTTTATTCGCAAAGCAATATGTATGCGAAAACGTATTGACATGAATTGGTAAGAATTCCCTTTGGTGTCAACCTGATCGGTGCCTTGCTTAGAATTTAACACATCTAGTGTTTTTTTGCGTCCTTTGTTTTGCACATAAACGCCACGCGAAGGGATTTTCAAAATGTAATTTCGTGTGTTTCCATGAATAGGTTGCAGAATACATTGTTTGCGCTCAATCATGTCGCATGACAAGCATTCCACATTGGTGTACGCGGCCATCGTGGCATAACATAAATGTTTCCATATGTCGAATATATATATATATATATATATATATATATATATATATATATAAGTTCGTCGTCATGTTTATGGTCTTGTTTAGATATCTCTTTGGTGTTAATGTTGTTCCTGTTGTTGTCGCTACCCGGAGGAGATCTGCAACAGATTACATTGTATTTGAAAATGCACCCACCCACCCGTCCACCCACACACACACACACACACATCGAGGGAAATTTGTATAAGCTCGAAAACTGGTTGTATCTGGCGCAAACCTCCATCAGGGGCGGCAGTACACGTTCAAACAAAACCTGGGTTGAAAACAGCCCGGGGTTGATTTTATGACTGTCTGGAATTGAGGCAACCGAAAGATGTGCCATTCAAACCCCCGGGAGTTTCGTTATCGCCACCTATTCGGGTCGACAAGCGAAACAAAAAATAACATTTTTTCAGACAAATTATTTTACAGCCTGTTCCAAATCACGATCAGCGAACTGTGAATACAAAACTTATAAGCAATAACTTCTTCATTTAGAAAAGGAAGATCTTTAAGAAAAACTATGAGATTTCGCAGGTTTTCGAGAGTAGCATCTACACGGTGTATTACCAGCGTCGTATGCCATCAGGAAAACAGGTGATCTGATAAGAAGAAGGAAAAACAAATACACTGCTCATCAGTCTCTGGATTCTGGAAGTTGTGTAAGCAAGGAAAATGTTGGGTTACTTGATCCATTGTTAATTACGACAGAGATATAAAACAGGATTCCGAATAACTTCATCAGCTGTTTTATATAGAACAATGGAATAGCATTAGTTACGTATAGAAATGACAGAAACTTAGGATACGTATCACACTCGAGAATTGCAGCGGCAGGGTGCAATATAAGCACCAAATTTGACTTTGGCTTTTCAAATTGTTGGAGCTAATTTTAGTTCTACTACTAATACTTACTACTCTAGCACTACTACTACTATTACTACTACTGTTGTGAGATACTACTCACTTGTGAGTAGTCGGTAACTTTCAATGATTAAAAATAGAACAAGACCATCAAGGACCAAGTAATATATTTGGGAAGAATAAACACTGCCTGCTATACCCATTGCCCCATGTGTCGCGATGTGCTGCGAAGGCATGTTTCTGATGATCTTTTCGTGTAATGCATGCACAATTAGTGACCCTCAATCTGTATTCTGCAATGAAGAAATCTCCTCGACCAGCAACGCCTTTTCCGAATATAACACTACTACTACCACCGTTAAAATAGTCGACTGGTTCGGTATCTATCTTTTTGAATTTCCACGAGTCACAGTTATAAAAAAGTTTTTTAAGAAAATTCTGCGGTTTATAACGTTATTTTACCGTCATTAAGAGACACCTGTACCTTCAGTAGTATCCATCTTTGAATAATTTGATTAAAAAATAACTGAAAAGAAGTTATTTTGAAAAGAAAGTAGGCGGTGATCGGTGCAAATATCACGTTAGCCGATTTAGGAAAATTTACGGCTGCACAAAAATTGTCATTTTGTTTTTCAGCAATTTGCAAGCGACAAATTTGGTTCAACTCAACAAATGCAAACATAAGTTGTACAAATCCAATAGTAGAATAGAACCCATCCAGATATTATCGTTGCACCAGCTCGTATTCTTCTTAGCAGCGTTTATGCCACAAAGTAATAATAATACTAAACTATGTTTTCCACCACAATCGGAGTAACTCGTTTCACGTGGCCCACCTCAGTCTGTGAAACGTATGTAGTAAACGAAATTCGTTCTGGCAGCCGCAGCCAAAGCAGTTTATGTGTTTTCAACCAAGCATATTTTACTTATTTCACTCCTAACCTGGTGTGCATGATTTGTCCAAAATGCTTAAACCAAAAAACCTTTCACGCTTATCACCCAAATACACAGATTCCTATCTGGAGTTGTAAATCTGAGCTGCAGCTTCTGTGGGCACCGTTTTTGTTGAATCATGGTAAGTCAGATTAGGACTGAAAACCCTGGTTTCTTTAGGACGCTTTAAAACAGAACCTCGGTAAAGTCTCTGGTTTTCAGGTTATCAGGCACGGTTGGCATAGGTGAAGGAGATGAGATTATTTTACAAGTATCTGCAAACCGTCCATTCGATACTGAGACTATTCTTTGTATTGCAAAGTTTTCCCCGGTTGGTGGCATCGCAAAGCTGCTCTTGTTAATCAGACGAGCATACATCAACTTGATGCGTTTCACACCTGATGGGAAACGTTGACGACTTCCAGTTCACTCCCCTGGCTCTCTCTCTTTCGCATGCCATTTCTTTCTTGCTGCGGAATGATGTAAACAAGAAAGAGTGAGAGCGTGACGCAATGATTATTTTCGAAGCAATGAAATAGGAAGCGGTGCATACAAAATAAAAAGATGACCTATTCTTGAAGCAATGTATACTAAAAAGCAACTGTTCGATTGCACGAAAACCATTACTCAACTGTATTAACAATCTGAGAACGGCCCCCCCCCCCCTCGTTCTTGTAAAATAATCTCATCTCCTTCACCTATGCCAACCGTGCCTGATAACCTGAAAACCAGAGACTTTACCGAGGTTCTGTTTTAAAGCGTCCTAAAGAAACCAGGGTTTTCAGTCCTAATCTGACTTACCATGATTCAACAAAAACGGTGCCCACAGAAGCTGCAGCTCAGATTTACAACTCCAGATAG